CCCCCCCCGCCCCCAATAAAAAATGAAACTCTAAAGCTCTACTTGACAGGTTCATGGGGCAGTCAAAGCTTGGGATACAAGTGGGCTAACGATGGCCTACTTGCAGGTTCATGGTACTTAGTAACCAAGTATAACTGTACTTATTCGAACTGTACTTATAACCCTATAGGGAACTTAAGGGCCGTATAAGTACGGTTATAAGTACAGTTCTAACTGGTTAGTAAGTACCCTGAACCTCCAAGTAGGGTTTAGGCTTTGGGTGCCCGTCACACTGCTTCTGACCACCCAGGAAGCTTCACGAAACCGCAAACCAAAAAGAGCCAACCCAAAACCAAAAACCCTGAACCATAAACCCTTGACGCTGGAACCCCAAGAACCTGAACCACCCTATAAACCCCTAAACCCTAAACCTACAACCCCGAAAAAGCCTGTGGAAACCCGGAAAAAAAACTCCAAAACCCCTAATGCCCCCCACAAAAACCCCCAAAAAATGGCAAAAACCACCAAAAAATGCCCCTACAAACTCTGCAAACCCTGGCAAAAAAACCGAAACCCTAAACCCTAAACCCTAGAAACCTTTGCCTCAAAGGTGCAGGCGCACCGCCGTCCGATGCCCCCCAGAGGCGGCTCGGTGCAGAGGCGTGTACTTCGGGTGCAGCCGCTCCCTTTCCTGAGCTAGGGGCTTTAGGGTTTAGGGTTAAGGGTTTAGGGTTTAGGGTTTAGGGATTTGACTCATTTGACCCGGTTCAGGGCGTTCGGGCGTGCATGTGAAGAGGCATTGGGATCCTCGAACCGCCGCAGCTTCTCCAGCAGCACCGCCACGTCGCCGTAGCCTGGCGTTCTGCTTCGAGTTCCGGGCTTCAGGGCTTTGGGGCTTTGGGGTTGAGGATTTGGGGATAATTAGGGTTTAGGGCTTTGGGGATTTGGGGATTTGGGGTTTGGGGTTTAGGGTGTTTGCGGATTTTGGGTTTAGGGTTTGGGGATTTGGGGATTTGGGGATTGGGGATTTCGAGGTTTTAGCAGGGAGGGTTTAGGGTTTCTCCTTTCAGCGCCTCAATCCAGCTCTGTTCAGGCTCAATGTAACCCTGCTCGCAAGCGTTCAACACTTCCTCCTAGATGAGGAATTGCTCTAAACCCTAAACCCTAAACCCTAAACCGTATTCCAGCTTCGATTCCGTGTCAAGGCTGGACATGGCGAGCTGCTCCACCACTTTCAAAGGGGGAATGGGCTTCTAGGGCTTTAAGGCTCTAGGCCTTTGGGGCTTTTAGGTTCAGGGTTTAGGGCTTCAGGTGGTTTAGGACACAACAAAAAAGGAAAAAGAAACTAAAACTAAGCCATAAACAACCAAAAATCTCGCCCCCCCCTTCCCTTGAAACCCTTGAAACCCTAAACCCTAAACTTTAAACCCTTAACCCCATAACCCCCCAAAAAAAACCCAAACCCTAAACCCAAAACTTTAAACGCTTAACCCCCGAACCCACCCCAAACTCTAACCCCTCAACCCTAAACCCCACACCCTAAACTTTGAACCCTCAACCCCAAAACCCCCCAAAATCCTAAACCCTAAACCCCAAAACCCCAAACCCCTAAACCCTAAACCCCTAAACCCTAAACCCTAAACCCTAAACCCCAAACCCTAAACCCTAAACCCTAAACCCTAACGCCCCCCCCCCCCCCCCCGGGCCAAAAAGCAAACGGCGCCGGCCCCGCGCGCCGCCTCACCGAGGCCTTGGGCCTCAGCGCGCACCTTCGTGCCGCTCTCCTCCAGGAGGCCTCGGTTTGGGGTTTAGGGTTGGGGTTTAGGGTTTAGGGTTTAGGGTTTAGGGTTTAGGGTTTAGGGTTTGGGGTTTGGGGTTTAGGGTTAGGGTTTAGGGTTTGGGATTTAGGGTTTAGGGTTTAGGGTTTAGGATTGAAGGGTTAGGAGTTTCAGATTTACATGCAAAATTTGGCTTGAGGGTTTAGGGTTTAGGGGTTTTGGGTTTTGGGTTTGGGGTTTGGGGTTTAGGGTTTAGGGTTCAGGGTTCAGGGTTCAGGGTTCAGGGTTCAGGGTGCAGGGTTTAGGGTTCAGGGTTTAGGGTTCAGGGTTTAGGGTTTAAGGTCTTCCTGTTTTGGCTTCTTGCGCTGGCTCAGGCTTTCGGGGTTGGCTTTCGGGGTTCGGGTTTGAAAGGCATCGGGCGGGCATTTGGGGCCTTCTGGTTCAGGGCTTTGGGGCCTGTATACCCCTTATATACCCCATACAAATTAAGGGCCCTTACATCAGAACCCTTTAAGGGAGGTAAGGGACCATACTACGGGCCCATGAAAGTACCCTGAACCCTAAACCCTAAACCCTAAACCCTAGACCCTAAACCCTAAACCCTAAACCCTAAACCCTAGACCCTTATTCATATCAAGGGCCCATGCAACTACCCCTCTGCAAAGCGCCAACATCCCGCACCTGAGAGCCCGGGGTCCGGGCTCGTGCGCTTATGCGGGCTAGGGTACTTCGGGTTCTCAGGGCTCTTAGGGGTTCTTAGGGTTCTTAGGGCTCTTGCATTCTCAGGGTTCTTAGCGCTCTTAAGGCTCTTAGGGGTTCTTAGGGGCTCTTAGGGCTCTTAGGGCTCTTAGGGCTCTTAGGGGCTCTTAGGGGCTCTTAGGGCTCTTAGGGCGCGGGCTCAGGCGCCTATGAGGGCCGAAGGGGCAGTCGACGTCCAGCCGCAGGCTTCGATGCGCTTCGGCGGCGCGGCACCACTCGACCTCAGCCCGGAGCCCTTGGGCCTCAAAGCGCAAATTCCTTTTAAATCAAACCCTGAATTCAACCTTAAATTCTTTAAAAAAAAACCTGGATTATACCCTAACTCCTTCACAAAAACCCTGAATTAGATCCGAGAAAAACACGAATCAGCAGTCTTTGTGCGTCCATGGCGGCAGCCGTGGCGAAGGAGAGGATGCGGCAGAGCCTCGGCTGAAGTTTTGGGGGGAGGGTTTCGGGCTCAGGGTTGATTCAGGGACCGTAGACCCTGAACCCTGAACCCTAAACCCTAAACCCTGAACCCTAAACCCTAAACCCTCAGGGTCTGGGGCTTGTTTGTCTCTTGTGTTTGTTGTGGGAGAGAGGAAACGGGGGGGGTTGGGGTTGGGACTTGAGTTCTTCTTTGGACTTGAGGCTTCTGGGGTTTCTAGTCTTTTCATCGCTATGTATATGTACATATATACATAGGTATGTATATACGTAGAATGTC